CTCTAAATGGCCGGCCATAGGGATTCATTGGACTATTTGGGCCTTTGTGAATCATTATTCATTAAGTTGTCATACAACTTAAGTCAATGGACTTGACGTTCGAAGCCCATTGGGCCTTAAGGTCCAAAACTATCCCGAGGTCTTTAACGAACTTATTCGTTTGATTAACTAACATATTAATTAATCCTTGCCATAAATAATTATACCATTTAATTATTCTTACTCATCTCTGTTGTTTCTTCAATCTCTACCTTACACGGTGTACGATCCATTAGGTTCCTTTTTAGCGAGGCAGTGGGTGATTAAAACTCTTTCAAATCGATTGTGAATTGAAACTTACTTTCAATTCTCCCTTTAGTGTTTATACACGTTTAGGGCTTCCACAAACCAAGAGTGACACCTAGCAGCATATCAGGGTTACCCAAGCTAATCAGAAGAGGTAGAGAACCTATTCAGTTTAGGATTACAAATGCAATACGGTCTTTCTCTAATACAATACTCTTGACCACATTGTTTGGTTTGATAGTTTATTCATGTCTACTATCCAATGTGATTCGTGTGCTTATATGATTACCTTGAATGTGATTTGGAATGACTTCCTAAATCTCATTCATACTTTGGCCAAAGATTCTTAATCATATCATAGAGTATTCTCCCTCAAACGGTTTGAAGGTTAGAGATCCCTTGTTGCGCATTCACTTACCTCCATGACTAAGTGGCTTAACCCCAATGATGTCGTGGACACCCTCGAATGGAGTGACTTTGACACAATCAAAGATCAAGGACTTAACCACAAGACAACTATGATGCCTCAGGTCAAAGGACTACTTTGCATTATCCCAACCATGAGTTCTCATGTGACATGAGTATGAGAACTCCTCGTTGATCGTGTTCAGTGGACTCATTCGCTATTGAGCACCTACATGCTTGTCTTGATGTCACACACACCAATGACTCGAGACTAGTCACTCTCCCTGAGAGAAGACACAGCACGTACTGATCTTAACAGACTGTCAATGCCCAATTAGCAATCCTATGATCAGGAACGTTTAGGATATGTATACGAAAGAGAATGGTCTCATTAATCTAACTTGTTTAAATCATATTCTCCTGATTACATATTCCTTGGACTTATCGTTTAAGCATATAACATTTATATGAGACGGCTTAAACAAGAATCTTTGCCCTTGATATTAAACTAGATTAGTTTAACATGTGAAATGTCCGTAAAGTATCATCATATGATTGGTTTTAGGGCACATTTCCAACACTAGAATGATTTGAAACCCATTGACCAAAAGTCAACCGTCGATCAAAGGTCGACGGTAGGGTTCACAACCCTACATAACTCAATCTGGAAGATCCGCACCTCAGATTTTCGATCCGTAACTTCCCAAGAGTTTCAATAAGCTTCTAGAACAACATCCTAAAGTTGTGGATGATCCAACGGTTAGATCTCGGCCAATTGCTAAAATTAAGTGGCGACCGACATTTTATTTTACGAACTTACAAATCCAATTCGTGAAGATTCGTACATTAGATTCCTAATCCGTAAGTTCCTATTGCCCTCAAATATTATGTACTATAATGTATTAAGGTTTGGTGACGATCCATTGGTCAGATATTCAATTCATATAAGGATCAAGTGGCAGTCTCTATCGAAACTATGTTCAAATGATGAGATTTTGTCAGTCGAGCGTCACATATGAAATCAGAGTAACCAAATTAGTCTAGGAAGGGCAAGTGGGGTCTAGGCCCACGCGTCGCCACACACGGTGGCCAGCCGCCCCGACTCGCAGGAAAATTCAACTAATTCCAAAAATTCACAAATTTTACAGAAATGAAGATCTCAAGTAGAGCAAGTTTTATACTTGTGGCCAAGTCCAATTTGGCTGGGAAAAGCTTCAAATCGTTTTCGAACTACCAAAAACCTTGTAAAGGGTGTGCTTTGATTTGTCAATTCCGAAGCTCCGCCGCTCCAACCACTGGTTGGGTCTTGTTCCTGAGTCCAAGGGAAGGCTAATGGTGGTGTTAATAGAAGGAAATCATTGCAGGCTAATGGTGGTGTACCCGTCGGATTCCCGGTTTGTTTTCCACGAATTTGAGCCCCAAATGACTCGGGTTTTTGGTTGAAATGGGAGAGGTGAGGTCGTGAACAAGTTCCCAAGTGAAAGCTCGATGAATTTTACCTGAAAGTTGCCAGAGGAGCACCGAAATTTGGATTGGAGCTGCCGAGTCTACAGTCGGGTCATGGGTTTGAAACTGTTCGAGGAGAAAGGGTCCCTGATCCCCTGTTCTCTCCTTCCATCCTTGGCCCTCTCTTTCCTCCTCCCGATTAGGCATCTTCTCAGCTTCTTCTTCTGGTTGGTCACTCACTCCCTCTTCTTTCTGATTGGGCAGTAGCCTTCCCTTTTCTTCTTTCTCCCATTCCCCACTTCTTTTTCCCCTCACTTTCCATTCACAGCCACTCACGTGGCTCCTTAAAACAAGTCACAAGAAAAATATCTCCCAAATAATAAATTTATCAAGTTGTCTTCGATACTTGATGTTTCGTAAAATTTTAACCGTAGCTCCGATTTTGATTCCGCTTGCGCCTACGCATTCATATCGTTGAGTACTTCAAGAATACGCTAAAATAATATTTCGTATGTCTCTCTATATGTTGGTCAACAAAAGTCAATACCCTTGCCTCTAGGGCATTTTCGTAAATTAACATTTTTTAAATTTATAAAATCGTAGAACTAGGGACGGGTTGTCACACTCATTCTTCCCGATCTCTTGCACGATGCGTATGAAGTTTGATCCCCATTTCCCGACTTCTTTTAGCCGCCTAGACATGCATTAGAATGATATATATGCAAGGTTCTTAAAGACTCTAGGTGCTAGTCGGACGGTGGGCTGGGGCTTAGCGCCTAAGCGAGGCCTAGGTGAATTTAAGTAAATCTATTATATTTCGTGTAAATAAGTGCTTGTTTATACTTAATATATATATATATATATATATATATAATTTCATCATAAACTACAAAATAGGATGACATATATATTATGAAGTATTGGAACATAATGAAACTATGGAGAATAAATGTAAAATTTATTGAAAAAAATTAAATGTAAATGAAAGTTATATATTTTCTGTCTAAGTGAGTTGAAACCTAGGCGGGTCTGGACGGGCTACGTGAGGGCCTAGGCGGTCTAGGTGAGCGTCTCAGTAGGTCTGGGCGCCCTTTCTTAATTTTCAAACGTCTAGGTATTAATTGGGGGGGGGCGGTGACCAGCCGCCTAGCGCGAGGCGGTGCTTGTGACATCCCACATCGCCCAGGGGAGTGGATCTTGTAAGCCTTATATGTATATTCCCATCTCTACCTAGCACGAAGCTTTTTGGGAGCTCATTGGCTTCGGGTTCCATCGAAACTCCGAAGTTAAGCGAGTTCGCGCGAGAGCAATCCCATGATGGGTGACCCGCTGAGAAGTTCTAGTGTGAGTTCCTAGAAACAAAACCGTGAGGGCGTGGTCGGGGCCCAAAGCCCAAATCGGACAATATCGTGCTACGGCGAAGTCGAGCCCGGGATGTGGTGGGGGCCCGGGCCAGGATGTGACAGCGCTAGGCGGGGATTTTTAGAACAATGTATGTATGTCAAAAAGTAAATGCAGGTTAAATATGATACGGTGTGCATAAAAGGCACTAGGAAGGGACATGAACCATTTGTCCCCCAATATCCATAAAAATTAGTAGATATTATAGAATCTTTGCTACGCATTCTAGGTAATAAAAATGGTATCATTTTGTTTTTCTTCTCCAAGCTACGAGTGGAATGATAAGTTCTTTGGCAGTTGCATCTGGTTCGTTTGGCATCAATTTCCCCTACATGTTCTCAATTAGGTCTTGTCACATTTTTCAACTAAAAACGTTTAGGGAGGCAAAGAGTTGATACCCCTTCATTCATTTGGCATCATTTCCTACAAACACACTAGTTTAGGGAATTCGATATATATTAAAGATACCAAAAGAATATAATACATTGTGAGAATAAAGAGTATGAGAAATTTCGTGTACGTGAATTTCTAACGTGAAATTAACTAGGGCTCTTGTCATCATATGCTTAAAATAATAAATTTAAAAAAAATAAAAAATAAAAACAAAAGAATCGAACTGTTAATATTGGAAGATGTTTGCTAGGGAAAATTGGCAAATGGAACAACTTGCTAACGCAAGCAGGCCTATGGTGGGGATCAGAGCGGATTTGATTGTGGATCTTCTGGGTCCGTGCCATGCCCGAGTTATCAGGTTTAACGTAATACCATGCTTCCGCGTTTAATGATCGATATGGGATTGGTTGCACGTGTAGTCTACTATGTTGTGATCTTATGTGAGGGGACATGTTTAATATAAGTCCCACATTGGACGATTGAAGAAATAAAATACAATATCTAAGTATTTGGTTCCACTTTTAATACCATTAAGACCTTTTATGATAAAACCCACACCTAATAGGTAGTTAATTTTCTCAAGTCATCTTTTATCAAGTGGAATAACACAAAGGGCCGAAAAACATAGGCCCCAACACCACGTACTTCACACTGGGGGAGATATCTCTTTTTCACTGATAGCAAACTAACTTGCCTACCTAGTTCTGGTATCGCACAAGTCAGTAGCGTGCATCCACTAGTCAAACAGTACGCTAAAGCAGAACCGGTGACCTTAATAATTACATTTGTAGGAATTTGAACTCGGGATGGAAATTGGGGGTTCAAATAGTAACAGTTAGATTCTAATTGCAAATAGTAGTTAAAAGCATACGTGTACGAATTTCATTTTGTTATAAAAATATACCCTCTCTTTTTCTTCTAGATTTGGAAGATCGCAAAGTATTAATTTATACATCTTACAGAAATATTCTTTCAGATAGTAGTGAGTATAGTACATAGGAATATTACTTCCGTTCAGGTGTATATAAATATATCCACCCTTTCACTTCTTGTAGCAAGGTTCACCAAACTTGAACCTTTTAGTTACTTAAAGTTTCGTTTCGTTTCGTATCAATTATAAGCTAGCTTGTAGCTATAACATGAACATGTGGAACAAATTGTTTGGAAAATCAAAATCAAACTGCCTCCCACACCAAAATCAAGTTATTGTGAGCGATGCATTGCGGCGTGCGAAGTTGGCTTTGCAACAGCTGAGCTGCAATGTATGTCTGGAGGAAAACAAAGTTTGTAAGTGCGACCAATGCTTTGAGAGCTGCAAGAGAGTCGCGGGTGCTGATGAGCACCATGCAGAGGCCAACAATTCTGTTACTCATTCTGTGATCAACATGACAGGGATGCTCATAGGTATAAAAGTTTTCAAAAACTAGATTTATTTGATCCATAAATCTAATATGTGCATGTAAATTTTCAAAAACAAGATTTATTTGACAGTTTCAGTTCTTAAAAGACATTACAGGGTATCCTTATGATGGATGTCCTTTACATAAGATATATGCTAACCTTTCAAACTCTCGCACGTGCAAGAGATGTTTTTTTCGTCATGCACAAATTTTGCTCGACTTTTTGGTTTTAACTTTACCTAATTTTATTATATTTGTAAAAAGTATTTGTATATCTTAATGAGAAGCTTTCTCTTGATTTCAAATATATGTATTTATAAATATTTAGAAATTCTCTATCTTGGCAGCGTTTAATATGTTACTATCAACTGTGATTTTAGAAAATTTATCAAATACAAACATATTAGTGGCTCGACTAAAAATATTACCGACCAAAAAAAAAAACAAAAAGACTTCAACAAATATCGTAAATAATTACTTTTTGCATGCTTTTTGTGTTGCAGGTTTGGGACAGTTATCAACTCCATATGCCTTAGAAACTGGGGGTTGGTCTTCTGCATTCCTATTAATAGGACTTGGGATAATATGTGCATATTGTTCTCATCTCCTTGGAAAATGTCTTGACAAACATCCCAAGTCAAGAACCTACACAGATATTGGATACAACGCATTTGGATCCAAAGGAAAAATTCTAGCAGCATACTTCATTTACATGGAGATCTTCATGGCTCTTGTATCCTACACCATCTCTTTGCATGACAATCTAGCCACAGTGTTCCCCGGGATCCAACTCAAGGTTTCGTGGGCTAAGTTACCAAAATCTCAGCTCTTAACCTTCATCGCCATCTTGGTAGCTCTCCCCAGTCTTTGGTTGAGAGATCTCTCTTCTATATCTTTCCTTTCCTTCGGTGGTGTTCTCATGTCACTCGTCATTTTTATATCAGTGGCATGCACCGCCATTTTTGGAGGGGTGAAATCGAACCACACCATACCAGCCCTCCAGATTCATAACATTCCTGCAATATCTGGCCTTTGTATCTTCAGCTTTGCAGGACATATTGTTTTCCCCAACTTATACAAGGCCATGAAAGACCCATCCAAGTTCACCAAGGTAGACTTCTTAATTTATAGTCTCTCCAATCATAATAAGTTAATCTCTAGTACTCTTTCATTCTCTCTAAATTTAGAACACGTTACATAACTAAAATACTATTTCCAATCACTTGATCGCCGTTAACCATGAGAAAATAATTCATGTTTACCACCACCGTTGGACAAGAATCTAATTCGGATGTGACCTGATAAACTTGAATACCAATCATTCTGTTTTAATTAAAACTTGCTGATCGTGGACTTAAGTTTTTTTTCTGATCCAACGTTATTGGTGGGTGGGATTTGGACTAAGTAATAACACACTGAGCCAATAATGATTAGTTATCGAACTTAAACTACTGAAGTGATCAAAACCTAACTAAATTACTATACTTTTACTTTTATCTCTAATTTTATCCTTTTATATGTTTTAAATTCTTGCAGGTATCAATAATAAGCTTCACTTTAGTGACAATGCTTTACACATCCCTAGCATTCATGGGAGCCAAGTTGTTTGGTCCTCAGGTGAATCCTCAAATCACTCTAAGCATGCCTCCACATCTTATTGTGACAAAGATTGCTTTGTGGGCAACTGTGCTGACACCAATGACCAAATATGCTCTTGAATTTGCACCGATGGCTATCCAGCTTGAGCATAACCTTCCTCAATCTTTGAGTTCCAGAACAAAGTTGCTCATCCGGGGCAGCATTGGTTCAGTGCTACTTCTATTGATTCTAGTACTAGCTCTCTCTGTCCCATATTTTGAGTATGTTCTCAGCCTCACTGGATCGCTTGTAAGTATTGGCATTTGTGTCATTTTCCCTTGTGCCTTCTACCTCAAGATATGCTGGGGTCAAATTTCAAGGCCTCTCCTGGTCCTCAACCTCACTCTAATTGCATTTGGCCCCCTCCTTGGTACAGTTGGAACCATTTCCTCATCAAAGTTGCTCCTAATACACCTCAGCAGAGCTCACTCAGCCTGAAGAAGATGAACCAATCATCTCATACATGCCAATAAACTAATTTGCTTTTCCCTCTGGGATGAGTGTTGTGTCTCTATTTTCTCCTTTGATAATCTTTTAGCTTTTTCATTTTTCATGTAGTATTTTTGAAGATAAAGCTCTATACACATGTATCTACGGGTGTCATCATATGAATAAAGCTTTTATAATAAGCTGTTTTTTCTTCTTTTCAGTATATGTTGAATGATAAAATGTTCAGAACAAAATAATTGTTAAGATTTCAGTCTTGCGAAGTTTTCAAGTTGGACTCTATCTCCAACAATAATCAATAAAGCCAATTGGCTTGGAATTTTTTTTTGAAATTCTATTCATATGTTTGATAATACAAGGGAATTTTAATGAAAAGTGTTTTAACCAAAAAATGACACACCCCGACCTAGATCGAGGCATGCTAGCCGTCACATGGGAGTGACGTAACCATGTGCACAATGTGGAAGCAATAAGGATATACGAGAATTTCAAAGGAAAAAAAACCAAACTACTAGCAGAACTAGCTAAGATAAAGTGCTAGTGCGAGATTAAGGGTGAAATACACAATCAGAGCATAAATATTCTAGATGCAGTCAAGTAGGACAGTGCTAATTATACAACACCCAATGGTGATCCTACATTTATGATGTTTTGTCAGAACCCCCATCGAAATCCTCATGATCCACCAAAGCACTTCTACCTAAAACCTGGAGGGGCGCAAAACATAAAGTGTGAGTGGGCAAAAACAAAACTTTTCAAAATCATTTCATTTCTCATAAAATTCTAACCCCTCGCCGTAAAACCTGTATAATTTCCCAGAAAATAATCATAATAACAAGTTGAATCAGAAATCATACTCAAGATGAAAATCCATAGAAGTATACCATGCCAAAGTATCTCAATGCAATGCTATAAGTAATCCAGGCAAAATATATCAATGTCAAATATCGCATCAGCCAAATCCCTTTAACCCAATCTGCACGGCTGAGTATATATCTCACAACCAATCTCAATCATATCAAATCAAATCCTGCACACGAGTCGGAACCACCTAAAGTGGTCTGTACGACAAGACTAGGTGTAAAGTAAATATGCTCTAGTGCTACGATCACGTGAAGGCTGTGTGAATAATTGCAGGTCACCTACGAGTTGGAACCACCTAAGGTGGTATGTACGACAAGTCTGTGCACCTAACTTGGATCCAAGATGAGCATATGGTGCGGGAGGTGAACATCACGTGAAGGATTGTGCCCTAACTCTGGGTGGGAGCACTACCACCGAGATGCAGGTTTATGAGCTTTCAATACATCATATCATGTCTCGAATAATTGAAGCAATCTCATATCTTTAATTTATGAACTTACCTGGCACTTACTTGTGCGTCCGCATCACCAATCATAAATATATGCAACTACTAATGCGTATTAAAATAGACAGATACTTTGCATGGTAATTCAAAACGTAATTTCATTCAAATTCATTTTCTGGGAAAAATCAAGTATATAGGTATATACGGAAAACCAAAAGCCCACTCACTGATATGTCGAAGGGTCGTAGCCCTTGAGCCTCAATTGATGGCGCTCGCCTTAGGATAAGTCTCACCTATATGCAAAATAACTGAATAAACATTATTTGAAGCACATACACAAAACTAGGAAATAACTTCTCATACATTGCTCAAATGGGGTTTTTGAATATATCACCATGATCTACTCAACCTCAGGAACATCCCCAAATTTTAGAAAAATTTTCCGACCACCCACGCGCTGCCATGCGCCGGCCAAGGCACGGCCAGACGCGCCCCTATGCGCGGCCAAACCCTAACTGAAACTTAAGTGCCGTTAGGAATATTCCGTTAAAACCTTAACAGAAATTAACAGCGTTACCTGACGTCGTTAGAATATTCCGTCAAATATTCCCCTTCTTCTTCCTTGGATCGCCGTAAATCGTCGCTGGTGTCGGTTTCTGGAAAAATTATCAAACCTTCATATCTTTGTTGATTTTCAACCAAAATTCACAAAATCTATACCAAATTAAAGCTTAGGATGAGAGGAACAAAACCTTACCACTTTGGGGACCTAAGACCAACGAAATCTCGCTGGAGAAACTTCGATAATCCGACCAAACTTGAAACTTATCGAACTCAACTTCCTGACGTCCAAAACACTTCGTTTTTCTTCTCCGAGCTTCGTAAAGACGTCCTAAAGCTCACTAGCAGCTTAAAATCTCCTAAAAACTTTAGAATCAAGAGTGCATGAACACTAACCCAAAACTGGGTTCTCGGGAAAATGAGGTCTTCACGCCCAAATAATAGTATCAATAGGTTCCTGGGCTCGCAAGGAACTTGAATATGGTCTCCATTGGTTCGATCTGAGGATGGAAGTCAAGGTTCAAGGTTTGTCCGTACAATTGTATGGACATGGAAAAAAATGCGAGAGGGATGAGAGAGAGTCAACGAGATAGGGTGAGGGTATGTGTGTGGTCCAGTTTGCAGTCAATCGACCAAAACCTTAGGCCTTTTGTTCTAATTAGGTCCAAATAATAAGGAATAGAACCTATTGGTCCAAAACCTTAGTTTATACACACACACAACTCAATAATAAAAAGGGTATAGTAGAAATTTCCACGCTCTTGAGGATAAATAATATATACGTTCGGAACATGCTGTCACAAAAAATATTTTAAAGAACATTATTTAATGCAATTTTATTAATAATAAGGACAAAAACAATGGAGTTTTGGCAGTATCATAATTTTGGGTAAGGTGGTAGCATCGTAGTTAAATTGAAGTTTGGTGGCACATGTGGATGTGAAGTTCATACAAGGCAAGAATAACGAAATCATAGCTACAAAATAACAAACATCATTAGTCTAATCAACGGACACTCGAGGAAAAGGGGGAAGGTGTCTGCCAAAGAGCTTTCAATGCCTAAATCAAAGAGAGAGAGTTTGAGAGAAAATATTAACTAGAGAGTATTATGAGAATAAAGTGGCTATTTCAGTTTTACCTGTTTGACTTGGCTATTTATAAATCTGAACCCTTGTAGGCAACTAGGAGGGAGGTTGTAGGCCATACTAGGCAAACCTTAAAGTTCTGCTAATGATGGTGCAGACCAGTCTCTATAGTCTGGCATACGAGTAGTCTTGAAGATCCTTGTTGGTAAGAGCGCAGACATACTAAACATCCAAGAGGAGTCAGGTTTCTACCACCATGGACCGAGTATGTCTAGGTGGTAGGACACCATGCTCCAAAAAGGGCATATGGCTGCTTGAATACCTGGTACCCATGGGATAGATAGACGCCACATTAGCCGGTTAACTTTTATAATAAATTTATAACAATACAATAAATAAAAATATCTATTAAAGTTTGTGCAAATCAAAATATGTAATGAAAAACATATCACAATAACAAATGATGCATATTTTGTCGATTACCCATGCGTTTGATACCACTGTTGGGTTATGGACTATTTTAGTACATGTGTGCTGAAGCATGGCTGAATGACATAATCATATATAACCATGGTTAGTGGAATGTTGGATTATGTTTAATCATATTAAATTAATTCATACGATATTGGTTAATCAATGTGCTTGTGTTTATACAAGATAAACTAAGAACACATGCATAAACTTATATGATGTTTGGAATTCCAACTTTTTTATTTCGTATGCGGACGAATTCAATATGGTTGAGGCGCCCAAATGTTAGCCCTCTGCTAGTATCCACGTGAACGAATCTCTAATTGGTGAAGTAGGAAGACAACAATCTGCTAGAACCTTCTCCTCCCGAGGGTGCTATGGCAAAACCTTGTGGAGTGCGGTGTTTTGTTTTTCAATTTCTCTAAATTAGAAAACCTAATCCCTTCTTTCTAATTTTCTGATTTCATGACTTATGAATTGTATTCTCACTCTTAGGTGTAAAGACCCTTTAGGCATATATACAATTCCCTAACTCAATAGGATTACAATTCAATGCTCCACCACCACATGTGAACCACAAGCCCTAAGGAACCTTTCCTTGGGCTTGCTGCACCTTCCCTTACCATTGGGCTTTAACCCGGTTCGCTCCTATTTTTTATATTCAATTAATTCAATCTTGCCACGTCAACTGGTTTTTGGGCATATGATGAGTCAATATTATACTATATATTTTTCCCTAATCTTAGTAATAATTTATGTGTGAATTTTGATACTTTGAGTCATATATTTTCAATGTAGGACATTCAACTTCCTCTGGAGTAAAAAGTGATCAAATGGATGAATTTTGGAGTGATTTCAATTGAAGGATGTTCGTGAGTCTTTCAAGATGATTGTATCAAAATTCCATATTTTTCTACCAAGTCGTTTGACCATGGTGATGAAATAAACGTCCAGCGCGCAGCTTTCCTAGATTGACGTTTCTTGACTTTTTGGGCATTTTGAAGGTCAAGATGGAATATTTTGAGAAAGATTCCTTCTGAGGATTTGTAGGGGACGTCTCCATCTTTCAAAAGAGACATTTTAGGACCAAATCGAAGTTGATTTGTTCGGTCAAAAGTCTGATTTTCTGAGAATACCGAATTTTAGTTCAAATAGGAAACCTTTAATTTCTGTTTTAGGGGGGGTGTATTCAATTGAGATTTTGAGGGATTTTAATTCCTTTAATGAATCTAGGGGTATTCAATCAGGATTTTAAGTGATTCTCTGAAATTCAAGGTGTATTCAATTAGAAATTTAAGATAGTTTATTAAAATCTTTAGAAATCCGGATGTATTCAATTAGGATTTTAAAGAAGTTTATAACATTACAGGTGTATTGAATTAGAAATTGATTTTAAAGAATTTGAGAAAGTTGAGAAATTAGAGGGAATTGGAGAGATTTCGTAGTATATTTTAAGCATCCACAAATCTCACCTCTCCCGATGAAATTTCGAGGGAAATGAATCAAAATTTTATATGGAATCTCTACAAATCAATTAAACTTCATAAAAATCCATTAAAGTCTCTCAAATTCTCAATTGAATACACCCCCCTTAATATGTTTATTATGTTTCCTAGTTTTATTCTAAGACCTTTTAGGGTTTTATTTTGTAGTAGTATAAAATAAGGCTTTTTAGCCATTAGGGTTTTGGGGAACACAAGAAATAGGGGGAGAACATGCGCACTACTTTAGAGAGCTTT